TAATCCATTTTTTTTTATCAAATCTTTGTTATTGCTCTTTTTTTTCATTTCATTTCCTTACCATATAATTTGATTAACCGATTAATTGATCACTCAAATATTTACGTTTATTATTATTTACCCAGCAATTACTCGAACAACAAACAAACAAACAACAACAAACAAATAAACAAACAAACAAACAACAACAAACAAACAAACAAACAAACAACAACAAACAAACAAACAAACAAACAACAAACAAACAACAAACAACAACAAACAAACAACAACAAACAAACAAACAAACAAACAACAACAAACAAACAAACAAACAAAATTCATACATTCTTCATATCCTGATAAATTAGATAGTCGTTGAGAGAAATTATTCAAAATTGAATTCAACAATTCTTTAATTAATTAAATAATTTGAATATTAGTTGAGGAAAACAATTAGAAATTATTCCATAAAAAAACCATTTTGAAATTGAATTTAAAAATTTTTTTTTAACAATTGCTGACTCATAGTTAATTATTAATGCTTGCATACTCAATCAAAATGAAATATCTTTGGTTCTCTAATTCAATTTTCTACCAACTTAGTAGCATTCTTATTTGCTTACACACACACACATACACACACATACATACACACATATGCATATACCCAGACAGACATATATAAAGATAAACAGACACACACACACACACACACACATATAGAGATACACAATCACCATACAAATAAAGGGAAATTTGGTCCCATTGATCGGTATCAAAATTCTCCCCTCTCTAATACTTCTGTCATCTTCTGTCCTTCCTCGTCCTTCCTGTCCTCCTCTCCTCTGTCCTCGCATGTCCTCCCTAACCTCCATCGTCCTCCATGTCCTCTTCTGTCCTTTCCTGTTCTCCCACATCCTTCCATTTTTTTTTTTGGAGGATTTCTTATGAAATTTAAAATTTGAAACGTTTGGATTTTTCAAGTTCAATTTAAAAAAAAAAAGTGAAAGTTTAAATGATAGAAAAAAAAGAAAAAACAAGAAACATATGAGAAAGGATATATAGTGTATTATTGATCGATCAAATAAAATCTAATTTAACAAGGAATTAATTTTATTAATGAAATATTTTCTAGAGTAGTGCATTATATCATTTCCTGATCAAACCACTACAATCACTTCCACAACCGAAGATATCATCGTTCATATTGATTGATGGAATTGAGAAAGAAATTATTCCACTTATAAGTCAGGTAAAAAGAAAAAGAAAAAAAACTAAAATTATTTATGATTAATAAAAATAATTTTTGAAAAAAAAAATTAACTAAATTAACAATATAAATATTTTAATAGAAATAAAAATTAATTGAATTGAAAAAGAGAGAAAAAAGAAAGGAAAAGAGAGAGAGAGAGAGAAGGGAAA